CCTTCATGGTAGATCTCTAAGTGTAGTCCTCAATGGAACGGAATCAGCAAGACATCCTATTGGGGCAAGCGTTCCAAAGGAAGTGTGCTGGGTCCACTGTTATGGAATGTCTACTTCAACGACCTTCTTCATCTATCCCAGAATCACATGCATATGCAGACGACTGTACACTGACATTCACTTATCCAAGAGAAGAAATGCCAGCTGCTCTAAGCTACATCAATCACCAGCTGAGAGCTATATCAGCTTGGGGAAATAGATGGCAAGTAACATTTGCACCTGAGAAAACGCAAATGATGATCGTCTCTAGGCACCATGATGGTAATGCTGGTGCAGTAGTAAGGATGAATGGGGGGATGTTGGCACCTGGAGAAGAAGTTGATATCCTTGGGGTGAAATTTGACTCCAAACTAACCATGAAGAACCATGTTGTAAATCTTGCAAACAAGGCAGCCAGGAAGCTTACAGCACTTCGCCGTATCTCGCATCTGCTTGACAGTAGGGGTTGCAAGATACTGTACGAGGCACAAGTACGCTCACACCTTGAGTATGCTCCACTTTCTTGGTTTGCCTGTCCCCCTCTCATCTGCGACTGCTTGACAGAGTAGAGAACAGAGCAAGACGTCTCATCTCTCGCCTGGAAACCCATCCTGGATGGATCTGTCATTTCAGCAGAGCCTTCAACATAGGAGGGATGTGGGTGGCCTTACTGTTATGTACAAGGCCAATATTGTCAAAATACCACACTTGGATCCACTTCGAGGACAGCGCGAAACAAGCTTTTATGCCAAAAGACGGGCAGAAAAGCAGCAACTTCACTCTGGCTGTACCCTTCTCCAGAACATCACTCCATCTGAGATCATACATACCCAGGATGACTCGAGTATGGAACACATTCGTTCAGCATAATGATGTCAACGAGATAACGTCAGTTGATCAAATGAAAATGCTGGCACCCCAAGATGGCTCCAACTTCATCCTGTTCCCTACTTGTATGTCTCATAACAATAAAAATGCTTTCAAATGAGCTGATGTAGGTAACAGCTCTTAGCTTGTCAATAAAGTTAGGAATCCTTAACCTGTAAATAGCTTGTCAATAAAGCTAGGGATCCTTAACCTTGTCAAACCATGTGTAAAAAAAAAAAAAAAAAAAAAAAAAAAAGAGAGAGAGAGAGAGAGAGAGAGAGAGGGGAGAGAGAGAGAGAGAGAGAGAGAGGAAGGGGAGAGAGAGAGGAGAGAGAGAGAGAGAGAGAGAGAGAGAGAGAGAGAGAGAGAGAGAGAGAAAGAGAGAGAGAGAGATTTTAGAGAAAATCTCTAAACACATTTCGCTCAACAGAGCGAAACGAAATCAGCAAGCAGACTTCCTGTCCAAGACTACGCACATTTCACTCTACCACCCTGATCCTACGACTGTTTCAACTACGTCACATAGAGTAATGTAGCAACACACTACTGGTCTAATCAATTAAGAAAGTTACTTTCACTCAAATACTCTCTCTATCCCTATTGACTTTCTCTAGAAATCTTTCTAAGCCTTGAAGATTTGCACTAAGGAAAAGAGAGTCTGATCACCCTTTCTAAATCTTACGATCAGATCTGATTAGGTGGAGGAGCTATCATCCAACCTCGAATCCATTCTGACGGAATTGCTGCCAGTGATTTGTGTTTGCAGAGTTCGAGTCCCAGCTCCTGGCCCCGATTTCTAAGCTACAGTCGTCTGCAGTTCTTTGGGTGTTGTCGTACCTGTTTTTAAAGCTGTGTAACGTGTTTGCCTCTCCTACTGTTGCCTCATTCACCTCATTCTGTTCATCCATTTCACTCACTTATTCATCCATGCAGCACATTCATCCATATTCATCGCTTGATTCTCGCTCTGTGTGTATATTCTTGAGGTCCTGGACCCAACACCCCTGACCCTAGTATATCTCTCCCCATGACCTGTACCAAACATCCCTGACGCTGGTATATCTCTCTCAGGTACTGGCCCAAACACCCCAGGTACTGGCCCAAGCACCATTTACCCTGGTATATCTTCCCCAGGTACTGGCCCAAGCACCCTTGACCCTGGTATATCTTCCACAGGTACTGGACCAAACACCCCAGGTACTGGACCCATCACCCCTGACCCTGGTATATCTTCCCCAGGTACTGGACCCATCACCGCTGACCCTGGTATATCTTCCCCAGGTACTGGACCCATCACCCCTGACCCTGGTATATCTTCCGCAGGTACTGGACCCATCACCGCTGACCCTGGTATATCTTCCCCAGGTACTGGACCCATCACCCCTGACCCTGGTATATCTTCCCTAGGTACTGGACCATAGACAGGAGCCTGGTGAGAAAGAGAGAGAGAAGTGGAGGCAGCTACACACACATCAAGAGGACTCTGAGAGAACGAGGTCAACTCTTCGAAGACACTGAGTTCGTTGCGACTTCGAAGTCTCTCTACCTCAACAAGAAGCCGCATCTCACACCCATTGTCTGGATGAGACCTCATGTAAGTCTCTCATGTTAGTCTTGTGTCTCTCTCAGTCATGTTAGTGTTGTGTCTCTCTCAGTCATGTTAGTGTTGTGTCTCTCTCAGCCATGTTAGTGTTGTGTCTCTCTCAGTCATGTTAGTCTTGTGTCTCTCTCAGTCATGTTAGTGTTGTGTCTCTCTCAGTCATGTTAGTGTTGTGTCTCTCTCAGTCATGTTAGTGTTGTGTCTCTCTCAGCCATGTTAGTGTTGTGTCTCTCTCAGTCATGTTTGTGTTGTGTCTCTCTCAGCCATGTTAGTGTTGTGTCTCTCTCAGTCATGTTAGTGTTGTGTCTCTCTCAGCCATGTTAGTGTTGTGTCTCTCTCAGTCATGTTAGTGTTGTGTCTCTCTCAGTCATGTTAGTGGTGTGTCTCTCTCAGTCATGTTAGTGTTGTGTCTCTCTCAGTCATGTTAGTGTTGTGTCTCTCTCAGTCATGTTAGTGTTGTGTCTCTCTCAGTCATGTTAGTGTTGTGTCTCTCTCAGCCATGTTAGTGTTGTGTCTCTCTCAGTCATGTTTGTGTTGTGTCTCTCTCAGTCATGTTAGTGTTGTGTCTCTCTCAGCCATGTTAGTGTTGTGTCTCTCTCAGTCATGTTAGTGTTGTGTCTCTCTCAGTCATGTTAGTGTTGTGTCTCTCTCAGTCATGTTAGTGTTGTGTCTCTCTCAGTCATGTTAGTGTTGTGTCTCTCTCAGTCATGTTAGTGTTGTGTCTCTCTCAGTCATGTTAGTGTTGTGTCTCTCTCAGTCATGTTAGTGTTGTGTCTCTCTCAGTCATGTTAGTGTTGTGTCTCTCTCAGTCATGTTAGTGTTGTGTCTCTCTCAGTCATGTTAGTGTTGTCTCTCTCAGTCATGTTAGTGTTGTGTCTCTCTCAGTCATGTTAGTGTTGTGTCTCTCAGTCATGTTAGTGGTGTGTCTCTCTCAGTCATGTTAGTGTTGTGTCTCTCTCAGTCATGTTAGTGTTGTGTCTCTCAGTCATGTTAGTGGTGTGTCTCTCTCAATCATGTTAGTGTTGTCTCTCTCAGTCATGTTAGTGGTGTGTCTCTCTCAATCATGTTAGTGTTGTGTCTCTCAGTCATGTTAGTGGTGTGTCTCTCTCAGTCATGTTAGTGGTGTGTCTCTCTCAGTCATGTTAGTGTTGTCTCTCTCAGTCATGTTAGTGGTGTGTCTCTCTCAGTCATGTTAGTGTTGTGTCTCTCTCAGTCATGTTAGTGTTGTGTCTCTCAGTCATGTTAGTGGTGTGTCTCTCTCAGTCATGTTAGTGTTGTGTCTCTCAGTCATGTTAGTGGTGTGTCTCTCTCAGTCATGTTAGTGGTGTGTCTCTCTCAGTCATGTTAGTGGTGTGTCTCTCTCAATCATGTTAGTGTTGTGTCTCTCAGTCATGTTAGTGTTGTGTCTCTCTCAGTCATGTTAGTGTTGTGTCTCTCTCAGTCATGTTAGTGGTGTGTCTCTCTCAGTCATGTTAGTGGTGTGTCTCTCTCTTAGTCATGTTAGTGTTGTGTCTCTCTCAGTCATGTTAGTGTTGTGTCTCTCTCAGTCATGTTAGTGTTGTGTCTCTCTCAGTCATGTTAGTGTTGTGTCTCTCAGTCATGTTAGTGGTGTGTCTCTCTCAGTCATGTTAGTGGTGTGTCTCTCTCAGTCATGTTAGTGTTGTGTCTCTCTCAGTCATGTTAGTGTTGTGTCTCTCAGTCATGTTAGTGGTGTGTCTCTCTCAATCATGTTAGTGTTGTGTCTCTCTCAGTCATGTTAGTGGTGTGTCTCTCTCAATCATGTTAGTGTTGTGTCTCTCTCAGTCATGTTAGTGTTGTGTCTCTCAGTCATGTTAGTGGTGTGTCTCTCTCAGTCATGTTAGTGTTGTCTCTCTCAGTCATGTTAGTGTTGTGTCTCTCTCAGTCATGTTAGTGTTGTGTCTCTCAGTCATGTTAGTGTTGTGTCTCTCTCAGTCATGTTAGTGTTGTCTCTCTCAGTCATGTTAGTGTTGTCTCTCTCAGTCATGTTAGTGTTGTCTCTCTCAGTCATGTTAGTGTTGTGTCTCTCTCAGTCATGTTAGTGTTGTCTCTCTCAGTCATGTTAGTGTTGTCTCTCTCAGTCATGTTAGTGTTGTCTCTCTCAGTCATGTTAGTGTTGTGTCTCTCTCAGTCATGTTAGTGTTGTCTCTCTCAGTCATGTTAGTGTTGTGTCTCTCTCAGTCATGTTAGTGTTGTCTCTCTCAGTCATGTTAGTGTTGTCTCTCTCAGTCATGTTAGTGTTGTCTCTCTCAGTCATGTTAGTGTTGTCTCTCTCAGTCATGTTAGTGTTGTCTCTCTCAGTCATGTTAGTCTTCAATATTTTTCCACTAACATGTAATTATCACCACCACTAACATGTTATCACCACCACTAACATGTTATCACCACCACTAACATGTTATCACCACCACTAACATGTTATCACCACCACTAACATGTTATCACCACCACTAACATGTTATCATCACCACTAACA